TCTTAGTATACATATTGAACATAAAAAGAAAATTAAACACTTTTAACCTTGCATAGAACACTTAACTACACATATAAAAGTTCAAGTCGATCATATAACTATAAAGATTTATATTAATCCTAGTATACCATGTTGTTAAACTGTAGCAACAGCTAAAATGCCGTTAATCAATTTCTCTCAAAAATTATCATGGAGGGCAGTTGATGTTATCAGATTTCTATTTTTATATCTTTAGGGGCAACTGTCATACCCGTAACTGGCTCTAGACGTTGTGTGGTAGTGGGATTTGGAATGTTGTGGGCTCTAGTACCCAGATCCCAACTAGATTTCTATTTTTATATCTTTAGGGGTAACTGTCATACCCGTAACTGGCTCTAGACGTTGTGTGGTAGTGGGATCTGGGATGTTGTGGGCTCTAGTACTCAGATTCCAAATCCTTATTGAATCTGTAGCTTGCTTTCTAGTTTAGCATCTTTTATTTTGATTGTGTCTGATAGACGGGATATCTCCAATACTTTGGGTGCTATGGCCCCATACATTTTCATTTTAAAATATACTATTTATGCTTACTATTCATGTAGTGATCACTCGGCATGTACCTGACAAACACGTGAACGATAGTAAGTCATAGAGTGATATTTGTGTATTCTGGTAGTGACCTTATACGACTTTACAGTCTAACCTTAAAACCTAATTAACTTTACAAATGTAGTGTATATTATCATGAACCCGGATAAAGCATAAAATTCGCCTTGTTGTTTAAACGGAGACGTTTTGATTCCTACTTTATAAAGTACAGTAGCTGATAGCCTGAAGGCAGGACTTCCAGTGGAACCAGAGAAGTTTGAGGAGGTCACCATCTACTTCAGTGATATTGTAGGCTTTACCACAATCTCTGCCTACAGTGAACCAATGGAAATAGTTGATCTCTTGAACGACCTCTACACGGCGTTTGACAGCACCATTGATAACTACAACGTCTATAAAGTAAGTCGTTAGTAGTAGATGTGATTTAATAAAGTACGTTACAAGTTCTGATTGGTTGTTACGGTAGGTAAGTCAAGTTCTGATTGGTTGTTACGGTAGGTAAGTCAAGTTCTGATTGGTTGTTACGGTAGGTAAGTCAAGTTCTGATTGGTTGTTACGGTAGGTAAGTCAAGTTCTGATTGGTTGTTACGGTAGGTAAGTCAAGTTCTGATTGGTTGTTACGGTAGGTAAGTATGAATTAGATTAGCAACCATGTTCAAGAAAACAAAGGATGTGCTAAAATGTAAAGAAAAAGCGAAAATTTTAATATTAGCTAAAATACAATTATTTTGTTCTTTTATCATAAGTGGTGCTTTTATGTATAAAAGATATTATTTGTTTATTAAATGTAAAGTATGCGTACGTTTGTAGGTATGTGTGTGGGGGGGGTGTATAAAATATTATTTGATATATGTGAGACCATTATCAGTTTAAATGTATCTGTCAAGATTTAGCATGAATTACTTTGAAATATAACTTCAACACCTAGTAGAACTACAGAAAAGCTCCCGTAGCTTCAGAAACATTTTTTATTTAGTTCAAAAAGAATCTTGATGTCCATTAGTTTGGTTAGTTAGCAATGTTTAAAATTCTATCTCTATAAAAAGTATAATAACACTTAAACCACTAAAACCTTGACTTTATATAAAAGGCTTACTTAATTAATTAATAGGGGTGGAGGGTCGACCAACAAATGAGGTTGTAAAATGTAATGTACCAGTATATTCATTTTTCCTTATTTTCGCGAATTAATTTCCTTGTATGTGAGCCAACAAAATTATACAAGGTATTGTTTACTTACTTATTCTAGGCGCACATTGTTGTGCAATGTGTGAAAGCAATAACATAAAGTGTAAGTTTTAAAATGGTGTTTGATGATACTGCTAGGTTGAGACAATTGGTGACGCCTACATGGTGGTAGGAGGACTTCCTGTAAAAATACCGAACCACGCCGAAGAAATCGCCACAATGGCTTTGGATTTGCTTTATGTCTGTGGCAAATTCAAAATTAGACACATGCCTACCGTACCTTTGATGTTGCGTATTGGGCTTCACACGGGTGAGTGCAGATTAACATGTAGGATTCACTATAGACTATTCAGTTGATTTTCACACAGACATATATAAAGGTCTTCTTTCTTAAGCTGTCTTTTTTCACTACGAATAATTATTTTACAGATTTCTTATCTTTTCGCCAATGGTAAAATTGATATATAATCTGTGATGTAGAGGCCTAATGCACCCTTTAATTCGCTACGCCGTTTGCTGTGGACTGCAGTTTCACTTCATATGATGATAGTGTGTATATATAATATTAATAGGATTTTTAAGTCCTTTTTAACCCACCATTTAGTAATCTATATTAAAAAAAGAAATATGTAATATAATCACTAAATAGTTGATCCACTGTATAATAACGAATAATAAATTAGGCACAATGCCATTACATTATTTCCCCGAATGAGTGCCGAAAGTCCACTGGAGAGGTCACCTGTTTTAATTACTCGCATCATTATACACAAATGTGTTGTCTGTTAGTCAGTCAGTAGACACTAAAATGACGGCACATAAGGGACGCTTACCGTTGCAATTTGTACTATCGTGACGTGCGCATTCCATGAATCACGAGAAGAATTATGCACTCTGTAGGTTACATACAACACAGCATAACATACGAACTTCAAAAGCAAGAAATAAAAATATTCGTTACTTTTAATTTTTGTTTGATTTACTATTGAAACAGAACACTTTCGGGGACCCTGCGGAAGAACATCTAGTTTACACATCTAAATTAATTTCGGTTACTAAATGATGAGTTAAAAAAGGACGTAAAAACCCCATTAATATCACGAATAACGGTCATGTTTATCGTGTAGAAATATCATATCTGTATTCACGTTGTAAAAAGCTAATAGTATTGTATATTCTATTTTTGTGTATCGTATACGAAATACAACAACTTTTTAACATATGTTGGAACATTTTATCTTGTCGTAAAATTTTTGCTCTTTTAAAAAAAATAAACATCATGTCATCGCGAAAAAGATAAAATAATTTGTAAGATATTTATATAGATAATAAGATACCACAATTCCCTATTAAAAACTTAACTAATTACAATACATAATTATCAAAAACAACAACGTTTCGCCAGTGTCCACAGGGCACGTAGGAAATTTGATATTGTTCCCAATAGCTGGTGGTGGCGGAAACAGTTATAACGGCACGTCAATCAAGAAAAAAGTGTAGTTTTAGGTTTTAAAAAATAATTCGCTGAATCAAATCAAATTCTACATTATACTGCTATTAATTTTTCACAGTAAAGTCTAGATCCATAAACGACTTTTATATTGTAAACCAAAAAAGTCAAACACGAATTATTTGTTTGTTTGTAATTAAGCACAAAGCTACACAATGGGCTATCTGTGCTCTGCCCACCACGGGTATCGAAACCCGGATTCTAGTGTTGTAAGTCCGCAGACATACCACTGTGCCACTGGGGGGCATTTGTTTATTGAATTTCGCGCAAATCTACTCGAGGGCTAACTGCTCCTAATTTTGAAGTGATAGAAGAAAAGCAGCTAGTCGACACGACCCACCGCCTACCCTTGGAAAACTTTTTTTCCAACGAATAGTGGAATTGATCGTCACATTATAATGCCCTCAAAGCTGAAAGGGTCGGCATGTCCGGTGACGAGATTCCAGCTGGTCAGTTGTTTAAAATTATGGACAGCGGCAAAAATAATTGCCCCCTTCCAGGGGCTCAGCAGTAAGTATGAAGGCTTATAACACTAAAAACTGGGTTTCTATACCCGCTGTGGGCAGAACATAGCCTTTTGTAGATTTGTGCTTAACATCACACAAGCAAACAAAAATAAAACTTCCTAAAATTCGTAAAAAGCACTTTCTTGTTTCCACATACTACGTGGAGGAGGATGGGAAGTAAGTGAGTAATTTTTTTGTTTGTAGTTTAAAAGTATTGTACGTTCTCCGTCGTTACACGACCTGTATTGTACTCGCAACGCTAGAAACGTGGAGGTGTAATTTTGTGTAGAGAAACTAGACACGTTTAGTTATAACTATGCAAAGTTTCGGTGCCGTTTCTTTCATCCTTTTATCTTACTATTTTGTGTCGCTTTATTTTTAGATAAATTATTTTAGTACACTCTGTATATTTTTCATTTGTTAAAAAGGTTTTAATGTCAACAGTTTCAGTTTCAAATTCGTGGATTTCACATAATATTTTAATTGTAATACCTTATTATCTGTTTGTTCCAGGCCCAGTGGTGGCGGGAGTTGTGGGTCTAACAATGCCTAGATATTGTTTATTTGGAGACACCGTCAACACTGCTTCCCGCATGGAATCATCGGGCCTAGGTATGTGAGTAGCTTAACCCTAGAACAAGCAATGGAGTCCATGGACGTCATCGGGTTATTAAATACCTTGTTTTACATATTTATGCTCCGGAATGCTTTTGTGTCTATGATTTTATTGGTTATACAGTCTCTAATAACATACTAGCAAATAATAATAAAAAAACAAAAATACCATTAATATTGCAATTAATTCTACTAATTGCTGCTGGGACCTATATAAATTCCAAAGTCGGCAAGTTGATTATCTTGTTCTCTTAGTTGTTTCTTCCTCGGTCAACTGTTTGCTTTATTTCTACATGAATTACTTGATGATTCTGTGTTCAACTAGCGTGAAATACTACAAATAGCTGCCTGGAGAATACAAGTAGATGCTTAAACCTCCTGTAACAGGTGTATTATCTCGGCTGTAATACTTGAAAAGTAAATAGGATCACAAAATAATATAAACTCCAGTTAACAGACTCGATAATTTGAACTTCTTTAATACCCCCCCCCCCAGTGACATAGCGGTATGTCTGCAGACTTACAACGCTGGAATCCGGGTTTCGATACCCGTGGTAGGCAGAGCACGGATAGCTCATTGTGTAGCTTTGTGCTTAATTACAAACAAACAAACTTTAGTAGAACAAAAGCTTTACTTCGCCTGATCTGCTCAAATGGTCCTGACATAAATACGATATTCAGTTATTTCATGTGTAGTTTCTTGTTTTTTTGTTTGTTTTCAAGGAAACTTTAAACACCTAATTGTAGAGGACGACAAAAACAAAAACTCAAATGGTTGCGAAATAACAACATTCTAAAGTTGAGGGGAAATAACGGTCTGTATAATCGCGAAACTTCTGGGGACTTGCTCTCGGTTCCCTTTTATGGTTTGTTAGTTTTTTGAATTTCTTGCAAAGCTACACGAGGGCTATCTGGGCTAGCCGTCCCTAATTTAGCAGTGTAAGACTAGAGTGAAGGCAGCTAGTCATCACCTCCCCACCACCACCACCAACTCTTGGGCTACTCATATAACGTCCCCACGGCTGAAAGGGCAAGCATGTTTGGTGTGACGGGGATTCGAACCTGCGTCCCTCAGATTGTGAGTCGAGCGCCCTAACCACCTGGCCGATAATATTATGTAATATCAGCAGAAGCAGAAATTTCAAAATGTTTTGAATTAAAAATACTGACTTAATCATCTATCTTTAAAAAAAAAAGGACTTGTTTTTTATTCAACCTGTTTCAAACAAATGGTGCTTGTAGTGAAAAACGTGTATGAATAAGAAGGGAGTATTTCGTTTCACTTGATAAAATACGTGTTTCAGTCCATAGAAAGGTATTTGATCATGACAGTACTAATGATTAATTTAAGTTAATCAAAAATCTTAAGTTCTTTACAGCCTGACATGTGAATGAACGAAAAACAATAATAATAGAAAAGGCACACTAAAAGCAAAGTTGAAGCAAGGATTGTATTCGGAGAAGTAACTTTTAGTAGTATCAAGTTTAACTGGAAAAGTATCGCTGGGCAACCGGGCAAAACCCTGGTGCCCCCTCAAATTTTATAGCTTACCACTTAATAACATTTAAAGCGGTGTTCATAAATTAAAACCAGTGCCGTTTATCTATCTCGAACAGACAAATTGATGTAGAACACTATAATAAACACTGCATACGTTTAGACCTATAATATACAGCCAATATTTATACCCCCTTCTCAATTGAAGGCCCCGCCAGAGATAAATATAAAACACATTCATAGCCTCTTGAGAGAAGTGTTTTAAACAGCTAAACGCGTCGCATTCTTTATTCCACTAGTCTACTTTTAGAATTATGCCTATGCAATAAACGGAGATTCCCAATAACTTTCTATATATAGATCTAGATACTTGCGTAGATCTGTCCTTGCATGACTGAATATAACTACGTGCTGCGTATAGGCATACATACAAGTTACACCACCATACTTCTCTCCTGACTATTACCTCGTAGCTTTATGTTTTGTGTAAAACAATCTGAGAAAAATTATGAAATGATTGCATAGTTTGAGTAAGTCCTGGGCCTATTATTTAAAGCTGACAACAGGCTGTAGACTTCATACGTTAAAACAATAAATAAAGCCGAAAAATAGGAGATAAGCCAGTGGATTCCAAAAGCGCATATCTTATAAATTGAAAAAGTTGCAGGAATCTGTAAAGGTCACTAAAAATATTGAATCAGCATTTTCCGTTTAAAGTATCCAGTTGAATAATAATGAACAATCCTCGGGAAGTGGATCTGTGTGTGAATGACTATCCTAAAGTTTAGTTTTAGTTATATAAATATCAATTTGATCACATTATTATTTTGTAATAATAACGGTAGTTTAATTTTGTTGGTATTCGTATTTACTATAGGCCTACCTGACAAAGAATGTCTTTTCCCAAGAAGATATTAAATATGTCAGCTACAACTGCTACAAGGATCAATATTGTGTGAAACTTGTAGGCCTTCAAGTTGTATAATGGCATAATAATGCACTGTTATATACTCAACTTACAATAATTATATTAGAATTAATGGGTTTGTTGTGCCTGGCAATCTTACTGGCGAATTTCACCGGCAAATGTTTGCCGATATTTGGCGAATCTCGCCAGCAATAATACGTCTGAACAGCATATCTCTAGTTTTGAATTTCAGCTGCAAGATTATTAGATTACCAGTACTTTGCATATAAATAATCATTTTGGACGTGAGTTTGTCAGTATAATACTTAACAGATTATTTATGACTATTTATTATAGGGTTCGCAGTGATAGATCATAATATTCGAAATTTTGGAAACGTTTCGCGAGGAAATCAATAAGCGCAATACAGAGTATCGCCTTTGTATTTTTTCAACATCAGTTTGTTTGTTTGTAATTATGCACAAAGCTACACAATGGGCTATCTGTGCTCTGCCCACCACGAGTATCGAAACCCGGTTTCTAGCGTTGCAAGTCCGTAGACATACCGCTGTGCCACTGGGAGGCTTTTTCGACATCAATAAATCATACATGTTCATGTATTGTGTACAATAATATATATTTTCAAAAAATTAAAATCGTATCGTGACAAATGTTGTTTAGACATTTATAAAAGAAATGAAAATTAAATTTTAAAATAAACGCAAAATTATTTCTTCTTTGCAAGTTACGGATTCCTCATTCATAGTCTGATAATGTGTAAGTACAATATACAGAGCAATTTGATATACTTGTCACAAATTATTAGGAGTGCCCTTAATAAGCCTTTGCCAATGCCCCCCCCCCCCCAGTGGCACAGCGGTATGTCTGCGGACTTACAGCGCTAGAAACCGGGTTTCGGTACCCGTGGTTGACAGAGCACACATAGCCCATTGTGTAGCTTTGTGCTTAATCCCAAACAATCAATCAATCAAGCCAATGCCCTTAAAGGGGGCCCAACTCGCCTCTGATCATATTACACCCAAATGCGAATTTCCCCTGTCTTTTTAATCATTTGAGCCTGGTGTGATCAAGTGATTAGCATGGACTGACTTCGAGAACTCATTTTTCCATAAAACCACGCTCCGTGCTTTAAAGCAGTGGATGCGCGTTCCGTTTCCGGAAAAATCACGCTCCACATTTAAGGGCAATGGGTGTGCTGTAAGGCAAAATTGAAATAAGTTATGCACCGTTTATTATGGTGTGGACGCTTTTTCTAAGCTGGTGAAGCATGATTGATTAGAACCATGCTTTACCAGCATAGAAATGACGTTCAAACCATAATAATTATTGTTAGAACAAATGGATCTTTAAATAGTGTTCCAACCACTAGTGATGAGCTTTATATTTACCGAAACGCGTCGTCGGCCGTGGATATAGCGGCCATAATGTGGTTGAAAAACTATTATGCTTGTTTGTTTGTTTTGAATTTCGCGCAAAGCTACATGAGGGCTATCTGCGCTAGCCGTCCCTAATTTAGCAGTGTAAGACTAGAGGGAAGGCAGCTAGTCATCACCACCCACCGCCAACTCTTGGGCTACTCTTTTACCAACGAATAGTGGGATTGACCGCATATTATAACGCCCCCACGGCTGAAAGAGCGAGCATGTTTGGTGTGACGGGGATTCGAACCCGCGACCCTCAGATTGCAACTCGAGCGCCTTAACCACCTGGCCATGCCGGGCCAAACTATTAAAAATAGAATAGGCCTCATAGTAATGTTTTAAGAAAAGTATACATACCATTTAGTTCTTGCACTATGATTAGGCAAACCCTTTGCTCATTCGTTATTATTGTAGTGTCAGAGAATAAATTATTTTTATAATATTTTATATATAAGAAAGAAGAAGAAAATGTCTTTGTGTTTACAAGTCTTGCTGATATTCTAGTCTAAACACCTTTCTACTCAACGTTGAGCTTCTCACTGGCGAAACTTAGTAAATATTTTAATTATTTCTAGTCCACATTCAGAACAGCACTAACAACGTATAACTCCAGTTAACTTGTTACAATTGGTAAATTTTTCGCCAAGATTAATGGTGAAACTCACGCGTGTTAAAAGAATAATAACATAAAAAGTTACATATTTCTAGCAATGTCGTTCTTTAAGGAAGTTGGATTATTCCAAAAATACTACAGGTAGTAATCACTTAGAAAACACGTGGCTACATGTAAAACAGTACATCTTTAGCTACTAACAACAACCTTCGGTGTATCAAAAATGGAGTCATTCCGTTTAGTTTAATGAAGTTATGTACTGAATAGATCTATAGACTGTTAGATGTTTAGCGACTAATTTTTTTCTTTCGTAGACGGAATTTTATTCATAGCTTGATAAGTTCTAATTTTACGGTTATTTCATTATAAGCATACTGATATTTTAAGAATATTTGAATCATAAGATCACACACATATATATATATATAGAGAGAGAGGGAGATATTACACTTTGTTTATTTTAGATTTCGCCCAAAGCTACCCGAGAGCTATCTGTGCTAACCTTCTTAAATTTTGAAGTGATAGACAAAAGGGAAGGCAGCTAGTCAACATCACCCACCATTAACTCTTGAGTTTCTCTTTACCAAGGAATAGTAGGATTGACCGTTACTTATAACCCCCACACGGCTGAAAGAGCGAACATGTTCGGTATGGGGATTTTCGTCTGGAAATGCTGTAAATATTTAAGGTTATACTTTTGTTTGCCTTTGTAAGAGAATTGCTTATAAGTAAGTCAGAAAATATCAAGTTACCATTCAAAGAAGCCGTATGGAAATCGCCCTAAAGGTAGAAAATTGTCTCTCTACGTCCGATATTGTGAGACATTTCATTTTATGGTTTGAATGCTAACATTAGCAGCAACTTATATACTAATAGAATTGTTTGTTTGTTTTTGAATTTCGCGCAAAGCTACACGAGAGCTATCTGCGCTAGTCGTCCCTAACTTAGCAGTGTAAGACTAGAGGGAAGGCAGCTAGTCATCACCACCCACCACCAACTCTTGGGCTACTCTTTTACCAACGAATAGTGGGATTGACCGTCACATTGTAACGCCCCCACGGCTGAAAGGGTGAGCATGTTTGGTGGACCGGGGATTCGAACCCGCGACCCTCAGATTACGAGTCGAGCGCCCTAACCACCTGGCCATGCCGGGCCTAACTAAGAGAAACATATATTTCTTATAAAAACCTAATTTTATCTTTATTATCTAGCTTATAGAATACACATCAGTAAGACAACAGAAGAGAAACTCCGAGACGCTGGGGGCTATGAAATCCGAAAACGAGGAGAAATAACACTGAAGGTATATTTTTAATTGCTTGTAGTGATAAGAAAAAAAAAAGATGATTTTTTTCTTATATATCAAGATAATGCTCTTAAAATATTAGTATAGTTCTGAGATATTTAATTCTTGTTTATGTGTTAATACAAAATCCATGGAAGGCAGATATCTACTAACAAATATCCGTAAAAAACATCATCATCATTAGTGGCTAATCACGACGTAGATATTCAATGGAGATTGCTCCATGACTCCCTTTCATCTTCCCTTGGTTAAAACCAATTCAACTCGTGAATAGTGAATATTGTTGTTATTATCGTTACACAATTAAAAACATTTCTAAAATGTGGACGTCATCTTCAGGAGTGATCTTGAAAGAAATAGGTGTCATATTTATTACTTCTTAGCT